ACTGAGGAGATCAGTTTTCTTTAGAAGATAAGTCTCTTTTACAGTGTTGTCAAAACCATGCTTCTTTTCCACAGTCAATCTTTCTGCTGTGTGTGTTCGTATATGTGATCTTTGCCTGTTTTGGGCAGAAGAGGGCAGAAGCGGTTGTCAGCTATTCTGCACTGTCACTCTCTGCCTTCTTCCCTTCACACGGGGTCTCTTACTGCACATGAATCTAGACTGGCAGCCAGTTAACCTCAGTGATCCTCCTGTCACTGTCCCCTTCTCCCCGTGGTGCTGGGGCCCAGCTTTTATATTTGGATGCTGGTTTTGGGAGCTCAGTTCCTCATGCTTTCAGAGCAAATGATCTTACTCTCTGATCCATCTCTCAGCCCGCATTCTTTGCTTTTAAGCAACATTAGTAGAACAGTGAGCACAATGCTTGCACTGAAAATTATGTGGCAAAGAAGAGGTGAAGAAAAGCACAGAGGGGGGATTATGCTACAAGTAGCACTCTCATTCTGAGCACCACAGAAAGTACAGCTATGTTATTGATGAAAACAAAAGGGATGAAAATACATCTGATATCACAGGAAATATAACAAGTATTATCATGCTTTCTGAAGAACAAAGTCCTATTGGTTCAGTGTTCTAGAATAATATATCAGTGTGGTACTAAAATGATTTTATATTTTATATGTTTTATACCTTAGTGTACTCTTGCAATTACATGTTTTCTCACACTTTTAATGATGTTATAGATTGTATTCCTGGAAGGGGGGATGGTAAGAGTGAGGAGTAGGGTGGGCTAAGAAGTGGAGGAGAGGTGTGGGTGTGGGGAGGGGAACCAAAAATAAGAATGTATGCAGAAGTCATACTCTCAATAGACTGAAGAGACTCCAGTGGATAATCTTACACCAATGAGCATCTGGGTACAAGTTTTAGACCACAAAAGACATAACATAGATGACAGAATGCATGAAATCCAGTGGGGGAGTTATGGAGGGCGTGGATGGAAGAGGGTGTCTAAATCTGTTTAAGATCTATTATATGAAATGCACAAAATCTCAATAAAAAATAGGAAAGAATACTCGGGGCTGGATCGATAGTTCAGTAGTTAAGAGCACTGACTGTTTTTATAAAGGACCTAGTTTGATTCCTAGGACCTACATGGAGGTTAACTCCAATTTCAGGAGATTCAGTGACCTTTGTGGGCATTAGAAAATGATATAATTACGTAGATTCAGGCAGTACTCAAATAAATATAAAATAAAAATAACAAAATACTTAAAAAATTAAACGTTTACTTGGGGAAAAATATCACAGATAATAAAGAAAAGTTATTCTTTCATAAATAATTCAGAAAAGAGGGGAGACAAAAGTAACAGCGTGGCTGCACGCAAAGATACTGGCTGGAGAGCACTAGTTCTGGGAAGAAAATGTACAGCATCTCATTTAAGGGAGGTTTACTCCACCTGACTGTTTTGCATGGCTTAACATGAACCTGCCTTTCTTGGAGTGGTTCCTTGACCATTGCTTGGACCAACTTAGCTAGAAGGTTAAGTCTCCATCCAGACCAGAGATTCATTGTCTTCAGCAGAAGTTTATCCTTAATGACTCTTTTGTTTAGTACTTCAAAGGCAAGAAATGTGTGTTGGATTCCCTAGAACTGCTCTTAATCATGGTTGTTAGCCACAATGTGAGTGCTAGAAACTGAACTCAGGTCTTCCGTAAGAGGCACAAGTGCTCTTAACCACTGAGCAATCTCTCCAGTCCCTCCTTAATAGCTCTTTATCGCTACCCTAATATTTGCCTAGATAATAGAATTGAGAGTAACCATTCTTTGCTGAGCAAGCTACACTTCTACACTGAATTTCAATATGACAATTAGAATAATTGCATGAGAAGGTAGTTATACCTCATTACTAGCTCTCAAAAGCAGTAACATTACTGCAATGAGGAAGTTATAAAAGTGCAATCCATGTGAAGGTTTATGTGCATTATCAAATACATGCATAGTGTGTCAAAATGATGACAATATTTAATATGCACTCATATCTATTATTTATGCACTGTATAATAATATTGCATACATGAGCTGTAAAGTTATTACCCACATATTATGTATTATGATTTTATTCATGTAAAAAGCATAAGATAATTTCTGTTTTTCACTGTTCTCTCTCTCCAGTTTATTTTTTTTCAAATTTTTTAATGAACCTTTAAAATTTCATACAGTGTTTCCACTCACATCCAGATTTCCTCCCTCCTCCATTGCCGGCCCCCTGAATCCTATGCACTCTGCCATACATTCTGAGTCCTGTTCTTTGAAAAAAATTATTATGCTTGGACAGTTTTATACATCCATGCAGTGAATTTTAGTTATTGTCAACCCTGTTACCATCTCTTATCCATGATCCTTCTACCGCTGAAAATCTTTTTTGTAACATGTTCCCCTCCTAGTTTTTTGTCTTCCTTCTGTGTGTGAAATATTGAAACTAATCAAATTTGCTTGCATGAGCATGGGAGGGAGGTTATGCACAAGATCAAAGGTGACTTACTATTGATACAGCAGTGATGGTCGTGAGTCTACTGCCTCCAGCAACCAGTGACTGCTTACAACTTTTCAAGGATAGTGATGCCAAACACGGCTGTCACTTTAGGTTTTGCAATTTGACTAGTTGTGTGTTACTGAATTATCCACTGCCTGATTCATTAAGAAGCTTCTTTGATAAAGTTTGAGCCAACATTAATCTGTGGATAAGATTGGTCTATAGAAAAATTCAAGAAAATTCACATCATGAGAAAGTAATTTTTTATGTGTGTGAGTGTACTGCCTGCATCTGTATAAGTGCACCCATGTCATGCAATGGCTGGTGGAGGTCAGAAGATTGTGTTGGATACCCTGGAACTGTAGTTAAGGATAGTTGTTAGATACCATGTGGTTCTAGGAACCAAACCTATTTCCCTGCAAGAGTAGCCAGTGCTCTTTATCATTTAGCTATTCCAGACCACTGTTAAAGAAAAATGATCAGAGGAGTTCATCAGGACCTTTATCAACTGCTTCCTGTATTTCCCTTCACTCTATGGCTATATGTGTCATAGGTAAAAATATTCTTATGAAACACTTAATTTTAACTGTACCACATAAATCCTGAAAGCAGTGTTGTTATACCACAATGATTTCTATAATTTCAGAGCACATCACTAAGCTATTTTCAGTCCCCTTTTCCCCATCCTTCATTATTTAAAACATAAGATCAATGTGGCTGAAAAGATGGCTCAGCAGTTAAGAGCACAGGCTGCCCTTGCAGAGGACCTGGGTTTGGTTCCCAGCACCAACATGGCAGCCAACACCACCCTTAACTCCAGTTCCGGGTGATCCAGTGTTCTCTTCTGACCTCAGTAGGTGGGTATTGCACAACATGGGTGCACTTACATACATGCAAGTGATACACTCATACACTTGAAATAAAAGTATTAAATAAAATATTTTTAAAACATATGATTTTTGTGATTCCATTTCATCACCAATTCTTTAGATTTTTGTGATATTCACCTTAATACTCATATTAATGTGAAGAACTCCCAGTTTTGTTTTCATGTGTCTGTTATTGATGACTAACAATATACGTTCTATTTTCGGCAGTGTTTTGTCTGCTCTGTCAAGTCTGTGCTATAATATTTCAGCTATTATTTAATGAGGAAGTTTATTTCTCTTCTTATCTTCAATCTCCTGGTTATATATACACATGTCCATGTTCAGATATAATATTTTGAAAATTACATTATCTAATCTGTTTGCAACTCAAGAGGATATAGTTTTTAATGAATACAAAACATTCTTCCATTCAACACAAGAGAAAGCAAAAACTGATGGTAAAATTTGAACAAACTTGATGCATCTCTTACAGACATCTTAAATGTATGGTGATTCATGATTACAAATTTAGGGAGTTATCCTGAATTCACACAAATGAAAAACTTACCATTAACTTGCTTTTAAAACACACATATAAAATTATGGTTTAGATTACAAATCCATCAAAATAACTTACATGTTATAAAAATGGTTTAGTAATTTTAGTTAATTTTCAATTTAAATGCGTTTGCAAGATTTCTCTTTAAATGTTAGTAAGTGTATATGTTTAAACCAAATATCATAAGGAGTTGTGTTTCCACAGAATATTCCTTGAGATCCTATTAAGTGAATTATTTGAATCATAAGTTTCAGTAAATGAGTATAATAGAGTAAAACAAGTTTCAGAAGCAACATATTAATTTTTCCTCTAATAATTAGATTTTGGGAAGTCTGTCAGGGATTATCATGATTACATTGATTGATCTGGGGAAACCGATCCTGAAAGCAGATGACACAATTCCCTGGTTTGGGGACCTGGACTCTGCAACAGTAGGTAAGTAAGCATAGTAGTAGACATGAGTGCATTCATTTCTCTCTGTTCCTGGCTGTGGATGTGACCTTCTATTTCAGGTTCTTGCCTTGATTTCTCTGCAGTGAAGGACTTGAATCTGGGTTCATGAGCTTAAACAAATTCTTTCTCCTCTATGTTGATAGTCAGGATACTTTATTGCAGAAACAGAAATTTAATGTAGGATACACTATGAAAAAACCTGCATCTCCTAACAAAGAAAAATTTAGAAGCACATCAATGAGAGTTCAGCACCAGACACTGCAATGCTTAGTAACAAAATGAAAAATATTTTCTGTAGTAAGATGCTGAGATTCTTTCAAGAACTCTCTTCCCCACACTATACAGGTTGCTGTGCTTTGCACTGCTTTATGTATTTGTTTTAGAGGATTCAGAAAGTATTTTGTGTATCAAAATGATGAAGACTGTACCGACCCTTCCACATCATTGACTCCCTCAAGGGATTAGAATTTATCAGCATCAATCACAATGATCTATAAAAACCGCATGCAAAAATATCCTGTAAATTGAAGAAACTTTTTACCCTCCATTTCAGTTATTCATTATGATAGAACACATCTTGAGATCCATTCAGTCAAGTGAGACTTTTGTGCCCACTAATTTCCAGACAGCCTCCTTCACATCCTTGTTCCTCAGGCTGTAGATGAGAGGGTTCAGCATGGGATTGACAACGGTGTAGAAGACAGAGGCTACTTTGACCACTTGCCGAGAATTTTTGGAGTTAGGCACACAGTACAGGGAAAGTATGGTCCCATGGAAGATGGTGATGGCTGTCAGGTGGGATGCACATGTGGAGAAGGCCTTGCGACGCCCACTGGCGGATTTGATTTTTAGTACTGTCACAAAAATGAACACATAAGAAGTGAGGATGATCAGCAGTGTACTTACCTCATTGAAGGTAGCAAAGCCAAACAGCAGCATGTGGGGTACAAATATATTAGAGCTAGAGACAGCAATAACAGCAGTGTATTCACAGAAAAAGTGGTTGATTATATTGAATCCTGAAAACTTTAGCTGGAGAGCATAGCAGAGGAGAACCAAAGGTCCAAACATGCCCCAGAGGTACGATCCAGTCACTAGCAGGATGCACAGCCTCTGTGACATGGCCACTGTGTACAGCAGGGGATTACAGATGGCCACAAAGCGATCATAGGCCATCACTGCCAGCAGGTAGGACTCCGTCACAACAGCCACACAGGACAGGAAGTACTGCAACATGCAGCTGAAGTAGAGGATGCTTTTATCAGCCAGGACCAAGTTCTCAAGCAGCTTGGGTGTGATGATGGTAGAGTAGCAAAAGTCAACAAAGGAAAGATGGCTGAGGAAGAAGTACATGGGGGTGTGGAACTTGGGGTTGACCTTGATGAGCACTATCATCCCAAGATTCCCTACCACAGTGATGATGTACATGAACAGAAACACCAGGAAGAGAGGGATCTGAAGCTCGGGGTAATCGGTGAAGCCCAAGAGGACAAAGGTCACCTCCACACTCCCATTCCTTATTGTCAGCACCATAACAATCTTCAGTGGGAGACAGTGATTGAAGGGAATCCTGTTAAATACAATATTTACAATTGTTATGATTATACCATTGCTTTCCATGAGTGTAACAGGTTACACATGATAGAAAATGTTTTTTAATAAACTCATAGATCAATTAAGATTATAAGACAGGTATCAAATAGTTCCTGAAAACACATATATGATACTGCTTTATTTTGATTATTTGTAAAATAAATTATAGAATTAAGACAGTAACTTTCTTTTTACTCAGAGAATTAAGATATTAGAGCTATCTAAGGAAAAGTTGTAGCAATTGCAATTTGGCAACATCTGTTACATAAATTGACCACTGCTTATTGACTGTGTCTAATCCTGAGTGACTGTGGAAGACAATGTTGTGCCTTTGATACCTGAGTGAATTTAGATGTGTTTTTTCCTTGTGAGCAATTGTCAGTGAGGCTGAGACAAATATTTCCATACATAAAAAATATATTTTATAAATATTATTAGCCTTAAAATTATATCCTAATTATTGTGCCTTAACATAAGAAGAAAAATCAAAGAGAAACTTAGTTACAATAACAGACAGAGATATTGCACTTTCAAATGGATAAACATAACTCCTACATAGAAACAGGTCACCGTCCTCCTGTTTCTCTATAGGTTGAGTAGAACTGGGAAAGATAGGTTCTTTTATCTATATCTGTATCTCCAGGGACTCAAACTCTAGAGAATATCCCAGAAGTTCTTCTTCACAAGCATCAAAACAGACAATTAAGATTGAACCTCAGGTGCCAAACTATCTTTAATGAAGTGAGTGTCCTTGAAATTCCACAGAGCATTGCACCATGAAGCTTACTCTCAGTTTTTATTAGTACATAATTGAAAATCTCCCTCTGATTAACATTAAAATAAACTCAAACACTGTGTCATCTATGTCATATTTAAAAATGACCCTCTTTGAAATTTGATGCTATTATATGACTTTTTTAGAAAACTTAAGGTGATTTATCAAAATATGCCAAAATATTATTCATTTTGAGGGAAAGTCATACCTCAAGAAAATTCTTTCATGTATCCTGTAGTGTTTGGGGTGAGAATTCAGCCTTTATGATTGTCCTAGAGACGCATTTGGTAGGCAGAGTTTGTTCAGATCATTGCTAAAATATATAATAACTTACAGATTAGATTCAGGATTTTCAAGCAGCACAATAAAACCCTCTGCAAACTTCCTATATTTTAGGCAGCAGAGTCCAACATGAATTTACACAGGTCATACTAGAGTACTGAATGATCACTTGGTGGAAATATCACCAAGTAAATGCTATGTCGTAAGCCGTCTAGCTGCCTCTGTCTTCCGATGAATTATGGCATGCCCTCTGTAGTTCTTTATGCAAAGTCTTGGATGCTGTGAACTTAAATCTCCTTCCCTCTTGCAGTTGCTTACTTGTCCCCAAGACAACAGTGAATTATGTCTCTACTCTTATCAATGGCTTGTGACTTGTAGCACATAGACCAGGTCACATGGTGTGGATTATACTGGCCTCCCCAACTCTGATCCTTGGAAACCTATTAAAGCAAGAAACTCTGTTTGTCCTGTGAAGTTGAAGATTCTTCTGTTAAGTCCACATAATGCTGATAATGCTGCCTGTCATATGATGCAATAATTCTCCTGGTATTATGGGAATTGAAGACCTTATGCCTTTAGGATCTTGTCATGCTAAGGATAGCAAGAATCTTCCCTAATGCTTTCTCACATCAGGGCCTCATTGTGGCTGTCAATGACCCTGAGCTTAAATCTATAATAAAGCTCTTCTGAAGGATAATTTACCTCAGTCTCCTTTCTACAATATTGTTCAGCTTTAAGTTATAATAATTACTATGAACCCTGCATTTATTATCATGAACAAGTTTTGGACTACCCAAGCAATCTCTTAACATTAGGCATGCACAGGTGTCATAAGACAATCATGTTCAGAGTACTGTATTGATGCCAATGGTTCATAAACTTCCTTTATATCTTCCAGTTGAAACTGAACTCATAGATCTGATTTTCCCCATGGTAACTTGAAGATATAACAAATAACCAGAACCTTAATTTTCAGATGATACCTCACTATATCCTGACACACAGTAAATAGGGCAGGACTATCCTACTCTAGGGTAGCCCTGAAAGACAGCAGGGAACAAAACATTTAGTATTACATAGAAACTAAAAATGTGCTCATGACTTCAGGGCCATCTTTATAAACCTAGACAAGAGACAGATTCTACAGCAATAAATTTGAAGAATGGAATAATATTCTCCAAAATGTACTGCATGCTTAAAATTAACAATGAATAAACACTATCTCTAACAATTTATGAGACTTAGAATTGTTGAATCCACAGAAAATGTGGAAAAGCCTTCTCTCTTTATCACCCTCCATTATTTATTGCTTAAAGCTTTGATTCTACTAAGTTACAGACCTTGTTTCTCAAAAGAGTGATGATTTCCCTGAAGGACACAGGGCTGACGCCATTAAACTGCAATAGTGACCTGACTTGAATGTGAATATGTGGTAGGATCAAGTAATTTATAGATTTCAGAGCTTAGGTGTTTCAATACCCTATAGCTTCTGCATCTACTCTTCAAACACTTCTATGAGATTAAAAAGCCAGTGGCAATAAGAAGAGGCTATGAGAGTCCTTGAAGGAAATTTAATGTGCCAGCAACCAATATCAGTCACTTAACAGATGAGTGATGACATCTTATAATGAAAGTGTCAGCTTTAGTTTTCACTCAACTAAAAAGTAGTAACATTCCAGTGAAACTGCCAGGGTCATTGTATTAGTCACTTTTCTGTTACTGTGATGGAAACACTGACCCAGGCAATTTAAAGAAGGAAGGGTTTATTTGAGCTTATGGTTCCAGGGGAATTAACAGTCCATCTTGGCAGGAAGGCATGGTGGCAGAGATGGCTGGAGGAGGAGCGGAATCTAAGCTCTCACATCATCACGCAGGTACAGGAAGCAAGAGGGCGACCGGAGATCTGGCAAGGCTTAAGAACTCTTTAATCCCACCCCTAGTGATGTGCTTCTTCCAGGATAACCACACTTTCTAAAACCTCCCAAAACAGCATCATCATCTGGGGACAAAATGTCCAAACACTTGGAGCCAATGGGGGACATTTTCATTCAAACCACCACATTCCACTCCTGGCCCCCATAGGCTCACGATCATATAAAATGCAAAATGCAGTTAGTCCAAATTTACAAGTCCCCATAGTCATTATCAGTCTCAATAAAATTCAACAGTCCACAGTCCAAAGTCTATCTGAGACTCAGGTAATTATCTTAACTGTAAGCATCTATAAAATTAAAAGACAAATTACATACATACTCCCAACATATAGTGGAACTGAGTACACATTACCATTCCAAAACGGAAAAATGGAGGCATAGTAAGGAAATACCAGACCAAAAGAAGACCAAAAACCAGCAGGGAAAATACCAAATCTAGTAGCTCCACATCCAACTTCTGGGACTTTACTTCCAAAGAACTTAGCTCAGCCTCTCTAGCTTTGCTGTGTGCAACACACATCTCTCTCCTGTGCTGGACCTTTGGCTTATCTTTACATAGGCAGAAGTGGAAAAAAAAAGGAGCCAGGGCTCCTCTCAAGCCCATGTGACACCTGAAGAACAGATATTCAAACGTCCTTAAGAGTAAAAATAAATTGATGTATCTGGGCCAACTGTATGGTTTAAAAAACTCAAAAGGAAAGTATAACCAAAAATCAAAGGGTTTGTAGCTGCCATGTGGGTGCTGGGACTAGAACCTGGGTCCTCTGCATGAGCAGTCACTGTTCTTAACTGCTGAGCCATCTCTCCAGCCCCAGACTCAATATTTTCATCCAGAGTAGTTGACTGTAACATTTTCAAAAAAAATGTAGAATTTATGTTACAAAAAAAATTATTTGTTAATAATTTTTGTTGAAGTATAATTGAAATAAAATGAAGTAGACCATCAGGAGATCAACTTTCTAAGTGAAACTCAACAAACTTGTATATATATGAAGAAGGGCAATATATTATTACTGAATATTATCCAGAATCATAAATTAAGATCCTGTCCAAGCAATGTACCTTAAACATACTATGCATGAAATGTTATATAAACTCATTTTATTCTTAAAAACATACTTAACATAAAAATATAACAAATAAAAAAGATTACTGGATAATTGGATATGTATTTTCTTATGCAGCACATTGCTATAAATGGCCATATTATTAGTTTACTGGTCTTCAGCTTTACAACATAACCAATATAACAAATACCATTTATATGTTGACAAACATATAAGTTGTTTTCTGTTTGAGGCGAATAGAAATATTGTCTTTACCTATACTGTAATTATATGATTTTACTTGTGAATGGATATAATTATAGACATAAAAGTTTACTGAAAGACATGATCAAATTCATTCTCATGAAAAATTTCCATTCCTGCAAATTATTCAGCTTTTATTAATTTTGTATCCTTATTACATTCATGGTATTTCTTGACTTTTAAAATCTTTTAGATTATAACTGCAATACTATTATGAGTCTCTTTTCTACATATTCTGAAGTGGTTTTCCAATCTGTCCTGTTCCAAAGTCATTTGGTAGTAAACTCCAAACAAGGATTTAGATATAAGACAATCACATGGAAAGTCATTCTGAAATGTTCTATAAGCTAATTCCAAAGGACAAGATTAAGGATAGATGAATTTAGTAGACAAATGGTCCTTAGTTATTCTGTGAAAAAAAAAAAACCTCTATAGCACCTAACAGAATTTTCCTGAGCAAAGTTTAGGAACTTTTAGTAATTATGCACCCACTGTAATTGATTGATGTTTGAGAGCCATTTCTGGGAGTTGTTGCTTGTACTTTTAAACCTGTGCATACTTATATAGAGCTCACTCTTACTTTGGAGAAGAAAATGCCTCAAAGTTATGAATATTTTCTGTATTTTCCTTTTCTGAAGG